TTTCTAGCCTTTTTACAAAGAGGCACCTGTTTTGACCTTGATTCTCATGGTAGAAGCTTCCTTTCCTAGCATGAGACAGGGCCATCCACAGAGAACACTTGGAATCACAAGGCCACATGAGATGAGGGGACATCAACCCTCATGCTCAGGTTTAGAAACCAAATTCCATTATGATTCACGTGGCTTGTGGCCCACGGTTCCAGGAGCACAGCGCAAGCCTGACAGCGTACGGACGCATCATACCACTACTGCTAGCAACAGTCGAAAACTATTTTCTACAAATTCCTGAAAAATTCTGATAAAAGAAGAGTAAATACTGAGTCAACATGAAATATGAATATTGGAAAACATTCAGAACTCCATGTCAAACTTTTAAGCTTTAAGACAAACAACCCGATTTCCAGAGACTCCCTTTTTCTTCCCAATTCTCTTGGGATCACAGTGGCTAATGTTTAACCGACTTATGCAACCAAACCTGCAACTAACCTGAAAGCAAATAAAAAGGCTTTTTGAATGCAATTCTTTTCCCCAGATACAAAAACCAGTCAATTCGAAGTGTAAGTAACTGATAGCACTTTAAATATCATCTTCTAATCACTGTTGCAGCCAATATAAATTCCTATAATTCACTCTGTCTAGTCCCAAATGGATAGTATTTTCCAAGTCACTTGTACTATTAACAGGCAAACCAAAAGCACATAATCACCCAAGAGAGTGAATTTCCCATAAAACAAAATTCACTCACTCTGGCATTTTCCTTGGCATTTGTGAAGGAATTTTAAAAAGACTCAAAACACATATATTTTATTTAAACATTTATTTTTAAGCTGAGGAAGTGTTTTTATTCATTCAATCTGTGGGTATAAACACCATAATATATATAACCAGTAAGTTGGCATTGAACCAATAGAAGGATCATAATATGTATTTTCCTGGGCAAGAAATAATAAAAATTCAAATGGAACATTCTTTAGTAAATTTAGTGTATCAGAATCTAGCTTGAGAATGGAGAATATTCCAGAGTTCAATAGACATTTATTGCACATTACTGTAAGGCAATATTCTAGACATTGATGGTACAAAAATGGAAAACAGCTCCTCCCAATTCTTAAATTAGAATCTTCTAAAGGAGGTAAATGTGCAATTTCCACATAAATATCTACTTCCTGCACCCACTCCCAAGCCAAAGCCTCCATTATCTGGCTACATCATCATGATAGCTCTGTGAAGAGGTTCCTTTTTGCTTTGTGATCATTCTATAATTTTGTCTCCACCATGTGGCCCCATTACTTTTGGAGTAAAATGCAAACTGTTTGGCTCGGTTTGCAAAGCATTATGGGCTCTCCTTCTGCTTTGTTTGCCCCCTTTTCCACGGCCACTTGCCCAGTATGACCTCTTTACATGAGCCTTACTTTGCCAAGGAACAGAGCCTTGTCTTTCCACTTCTTTTGTCTGAGCCTGGCTCTTCAAACACTTGGCGTAAGCTCAGAGATTTCAGGTATCACACACTCGGAGATACTTCACTTAACTGCTTCTGTCTCAAGAAGTATTACCCTTTCCACCTCATTTCCTTCGAAAGACAACTTCCTCTCATTTATTTCCTAGAGAACACAACTAACTTCTGGCGGAAAGTCAGTGGACCTCTCTAATACATATCATGTCAAAACCAATGGACCCATCTTATAAGTATTAAAATGAAAAAATCTGTTACTAGTTAGGTATAACATGTCCTTCCCAAATCTCATTTGTTCAGAGGTGTGGCTTTTGGAAAGTGAGTGGATTTTGACAGGTGCTAAATTCATCAGTGAATTAATTATTCTATTGATGAATTCAGAGTTGAATGTGCTACTAGGAGCCAGGGCTTTGGTGGAGCAGGTTGGTCACTGGGGACACGGGGGAAGTGTCTCCAGGTCCTGGCCAGTGTCTCTTCTGTCCCCCTGATCTCCCTCTGGCTTCTGGATCTTCCTCTGTCTCTCCTGTCCTCCCTTTCTCTTTGTTTCCTTCCTCACCAGGGGCCATGAACGGAGCAGATTTCCCGCAGTCACTTCTCTACACACGTTTCTGTCTTTGAGCCCACTGACCATAAACGGGAGTCTCTGAAACCCTGGGCCAAAATCCGTCTATTGTCCTTTAAACTGGATACTTCAGTTATTTTGTTTTAGCAACAGAAAGCTAATCAATACAAATTCTTCCATCAGAAATTTCAGCTAACTCATAAAATTAATTCTCCCCATATTGAGGGACTTCTGATTAAAATGCTGGCTGGTCTGTCTGCCTGCCAATATTGTAAAACAAAGCTGAGCGTATATTTAAAAGAAAAAAAAGATACTGTAAATAGTTATAAGAGCCAGAATTTGTTCACCTATGTTAATTTGTTCAAACTATTTTCATTTCCTTAGGTTTGCTTCAGTCTACTGTTCTACAACAGAGTGCTTATACTGATTGGAAAATAATTTTATTTGAAATAGCTTCTTCCAAATACAAATAATTAAAACTGTTTAAGTGTATTCAATTTTATATTCTGAAATAAGTGAGAAATAGCAAGCACTCATTTATGTATTTCCTATCTGTTTGTAGAGTATGTGCCTTAATTACTCTGCTTTTTAGATAGCTCATTTTTAGTATTTTTCCATCTATGATTCCAGAAAAGAAAATATACTGAATCTTATAAAATTTCATAAACTTGTATTTCACAATATTAGATTGAGTTAGACTGAAGTCATTTTTGCCTGAGAAAATGAATACATATATATTTGCCAAAAATTTAAAACAATTCAAGGGTACTAAGGAGAATCAATTTTCACACTTGCATTTAGAGACATGTGTTATCACTATTTCCCAAATAACAAATAAAATGAAGATTTTCTTGTACTTCCTGTTTAACTAGCTAAAAAAAATTTCTCAAAAAATACTCTCTACTATTACCAATGGAAAAAAGATGCAAGAACATGACTTAACATGAAAATAATAGTTTATAGACCAATGAGACAGCTCAGAGGACTAAGTGCCTGCTTAGGCAAGCACAAAGACCAGGGCTTGATCCCTGGTACCACAAGCTCTGCTGTCCCCACCCGTGAGCATGCTGAGTCAGATAGCAAGACCAGGTGTGGTGGTGCACACCTGTAATCCCAGTGCTGGGAAGGCTGACAACAGGAGGATCACTATGAGTCTGAGCTGCATAGTGAGGCACTGTAACAACCAAATACATTTAAAAAGTTAGGAAAAGTTTACAAAAAGAGATAAAGATGGACAAGGTAAGATAACAGTACTAACTTTTCATGAAAAAAAAAAAAAAAAACTAACAAGTACAATTCAAATGTACCAGTGAGGAAGTTTTTAAAAAAATGCAAAAATACCTTTATTGGAAATAAGCTTAAACATGCAATAAATAAAATTAGTTTGGCGCAAAGGAAAAACAGGGCAAAACACAGAATTAAATCTTACTTCTTCAAATGCTAGAGCAAACAGTCCTTTTATACTCAGGTAAAATAATCATGGAACTACTTTCATGCATGTTAGAGATGCCCAAAATAATGGTTCTGAAAAAAAATTCAATTTTAAAATACTTCCTATAGAAAACGTATAAAATTAAAAGTAAATTCTGCAGCAAACTTAAATTAGTGGACTGCTATCTTAGCAGCAGTAATAAAACTACACTGAAAAACAATGTCTGGGGGACTGGGGAGATAGCTCAGTGGTCTAAGTGCCTGCCTGGCAAGTGCAGACCTGGGGGTTTGATCCCCAGTACCACATTCCATGCTGGCCCTGCCACAGGTGACTGAGCTAGCCACTGAGACATGGTATGGTGGCGCATGGCTGTAATTCCAGCTCTGAGGAGGCTAAAACAGGATGATCACTAGATGTTTGAGCTGTGTAGTGGAATCCTTTACCAAATACATACAATTAAAAAAAAAAGAAGAAGAAAAAACCAAAGTCTGGGGTACTTATGTCATATATTATATGAAATCATATCCTGCATTGTGCTGCAAAGATAAAGCATCACAATCCTGGTTTTATGGACATATATAAACAATAACGTTAATTTAAAAATGTACTTGTGGTTGGTTAAGTGTTTCCTCCATTTTATTATTTCCATTCTTCTACACTTGCAGCCTGTCACTGATTTATTTTTACTAGCTGGAAACTGGGAGAAGGAATTAAATATTATACAAGCATATTAGCCCTATTTCCTTGTGATTTAATTTCCATCTGCTTTTAAGTTTACTATTTGATAATAACGAACATATCAAAGCCAGCAGTGATTTAAAAAAGAAAACCAAAAAACTCTTTTTTTCAAGACATCAGAAAAGCAAATGCTGGCTTCCTGAAAGCCATTCCAAGGGCAGATCTGGTAGAAATAAGCACATCTTACCCAATACCAAACCAGCTCTATACTTTGCTTCACTAAACACATGACTCACGACTAATGACAGAGTGGAGTGGGACAGAGCTCTTATGTAAGCCCACTCTAGACTGATTAAAGCCAAGGCTAAATGGAACGAGACAACCATCGTTTACATCTATTGCAGCTTATGCTTGACTCACTCTTAAGTATTTAGAAGGCTAGTGCACATCCCTATCCTCTAGAAAGCAAGATTTTCAAGGATGTAAACTTAGGAGATTTCGAACAGGCAAGTTCAGTGAGCAATACACTGTCATGCAGAATGAAGAGGAAACTAACAATTTTATTATAGATGATGTATCAATCAAGGTTCAAATGCTTTCCTGATGAAATTTCATTCAAACTCCACAATGAAGTTAACAGAGAAAAATGTGAAACTGCCTTCCCCATTGAATGCCTATGAAAATTACTGCACAGAAATACAATGCAAAGCTCTTCAATGTGACTGTTTATAATGAGAAGATAAGAATGTGTGCTGCATGCAGGGAAATTTGCAACAAGTCACTCGCCTCTCAAACTGTATTTTATCAGCAAAATGGTCTCCCATGAACGTTAAAAGCAACTATGAGGGGAAGGGGAGAAATTAGCAACCACTCACCATAATGCATGTAGCAGTTTCCTTTGGTGGGATCCAAGTCAATGGCCTTCAAGAAGAACTTCTCAGCCTCGCTCTTACGACCCTTAAAAAACAGAGAAAATGGATGATTCAGCAAAAGATCATGAAGACTTCTTCACCTCTTGGGCACAAAAGAAACAGAGTAGTATCTCTGGGTAACCATCATTAGAAAAATGTTTTTCGTTTTTATGTAAATGAGGACGATCAAAGAGAATACACTGACAGCAGAGACTAAGGACAGACCCTTGGGAAACACACAGAGAAGAACAGAAGATGTAAACCTAACAGAGAGACTTAACAAAGAGGCAGGCAGGGAAGTAGAGAAAGGTTAAAAAGTAGTTTCACAGAAAATAAAAGAATCAGTTGGCTTTAAAGAACAGAACAGAACTGTGTTCTTTTGCATTTTATTTCTCCCTTCTATTTGTTTATTCTTTCATGTTTTCATATATATATATATATATATATATATATATATATATATATAGTCTCACCAAGCAGCTCAGACTTGTAGTGATCCTCCTGTCTCAGTCTCCCCAGCACAGGGATTAGAGGCATGCACAACTATATCTGGTTTTGGTGGCCAGAACAGTGTGCCCAGGGTTCTAGGGCCAGCATGGCATGCCGTACTGGGGATTGAACCCAGGTCTTTGTACTTGCCAGGCAGGTGCTTAGACTACAGAGCTATCTCCTCAGCCTGAATCACCATTCTTGTCTGGCATGGCTAGAATGAAGATCTAGTCGGAAGGTACCAGGTGGTAACCAGAAGCTCTAGCTTCCATAACAAAACAAAATGACCTCACCTACTTATTCCTTCTAATTTATATACTTTCTAATCTATAACTTTGACAATGTTCATTTCTTTCTTCACATATGCTTTTAAAAGCAATTTTACAGGAGCCCTTTTTTTTTTTTTTTTTTTTTTTGGTCAAAGTTAAAGTTGGGTAACTGACCTAATATGCTACGTTTTATGAAAGTTAGACTCAGTCTCCACACTTCCTTCCTTTTCATTCAATCATTAAAGAAAAAAGAGTGAGCCCTACTCTGCCTCCCCACCATACAAAGAGGTTTGTGGAGCTTACAACCAGTCCCGTCATCATCAGCTGTGGCTCATCCCTCTTCCCCTCATCTTCCTGGAAGCCATGCTGAATCATGGAGAGCAGGAGATCTGGTGAGCCTATCTATCCCACTGTCATAGGAAGCATGCTGAACAGTACCCAACATTGGGAATTTCATCAGTGTCAAAACGAAGGAGCAAAATGCAATCTCAGATCTCCAGCCCACTGAGAACAAGTCTAGGAGACAAGAACACACAAGAACTTGGAAGTCACACACCTGAAATTTATGAAATGATAGAAACTGAAGTAAAGAAACAACTCCATCAGGCTAGAGAAATAATCGGATCCAAAATAATCTTTCAGGTATAAAAAGAAATGACAACAATCATGGAAGAATTACTCTGTACATCTAAAGAAGACATAGATTTTAAAAAATAGAGAATAGAAAAATGATGGAAACATTGAATGAACAATAGAGAAAGAATTAGAATGCATAAACCAGATTCAAACAGATATTTAGGAAATTAAGAACTTCATTGAAAGCTGGCAAAAACCACTTGAACAAAATTTAACACAGACTTTCAGATCCAGACTTGCAGACAGCATTGCAGGTAATGATCAAGAAAGGAAAGATCTCTTAAAAAATAGCAAGGAACTGGGAAACAACAATTCAACAGCTGCAAGGTGATGCAGAGAAAAGTAAAATGAGACTGATAGGTATCAACACAACAATAAGAGTCAACACAAATGACAAAACAAACAAACAAAAGAACAACAACAACAAAAACTATTTGCACAAGTAGAGCAGAAAATTTCCCAAGCATGGGAAAATAATCTGATATACAATTAAGTGAAGCACATAGAACTCCAATTAAATACAGTCAAAATAAATCTTTACTCAGATACATAATAAAGATCCCAGAAATTCAGGAAAAAAAAAATTAAAAGCAGTTAGAGAAAAGAATCAGCTCACCTACAATGGAAAGCCCATCAGAATCATGGGAGATTTCTCAACACAAACCATCAAGTCAAGAAAAGCTTGGAGTGAAGTATTTCAGGTGCTGAAAGAAAATAACTTCCAACCCAGATTGATATACCCTAAAAACTATCTATCAGATTTAATGGAGAGATAAGATTCTTTCACGACAAACAAAAATTTTAGAAATTCATGACCACAAAACCAACCCTACAAAGAGTATTGGCAAATGTTCCAGAAAGAGACAAAAAGGAAACAAAAAGGAACCACTAAGCAGAGCCAGAAATTAAATAGAGAGGAAAAGCAGGGATCCTATAGCAGGAAAATAACATGACAAAGATAAGCCAATACATATCAGCTATAACCATTAAACAGCCATAATTCATCTATCCAAAGAAGCAGACTGGCAGCATGGACCAGGAAATAAAATCCAACAGTATGCTGTATACCAGAAACACACTGGAAATTCATAGACTGAAAGTCAAAGCAGGGAAAACAATGCTCCATGCAACAGGAACCCAGAAAAAATGAAGCATAAACAAAGAGATAAAGAAGGTCAGTCTATACTTGTTAGGGGAAAACTGCAAGAGGAAAATGTAACAGTCATAAATAAATATGCACCTAATATAGGAGTACCCAAATACATAAGACAAATTTTAACAGACATGAAATATCAAAGAGTAATAACACAATTGTAACTGGAGACTTGAACACCCTGTTGTCACAAAGAGACTGATCAACTAGACAAAAAAAAAAAGGAAAAAGAAAGAACAGAGCTAAACCAAACTTCTAGAGAAATAGACTTAGTAGAGCACAGCAGATTGTTCCACCCAACAATCCAAGAGCTAGTTCTTTCAAAGAATAAATGAAATTGATAAACCTTAGCCAATCTTATCTAAAAAGGAAAGAAAAAATTCAAATTCATGCAATAAGGAAAGAAAAGGGTTAAAGTACTACATATCCTATAGAAATTCAAAAGATTGTCAATTTTCAACCCACCTTGAAAATTTTTACACTCACAGGATGGAAAACATGGAAGAAATGGACAGGTTCCTAGATACATATAAATTACCAAAATTATGTCAAGATATAAAAATTATGAATACCCCAAATCAGTGAAATTAAAAATTAATTAAAAAAAAACTATCAACAGAGAAAAGCTCAAGTCCTAATGGATTCACAGCTGAATTCTACAAGAAATTTAGAGAAGATTTAATGCCACCTCTTCAATGAAGTTGAAAGGGAAGCAATTCTCTAAAACTCATTCCTGCAGGCAACTATTACTCTGATACCAAAACCAGAAAAAGACCCAGCAATAAAAAGAGAACTACAGGCCAATCTCCCTAATGAACATAGATGAAAAAAATCCTCAATAAAATACTAGCAAACAAAATGCAACAAATCATCAAAAAGATTATACAACATGACCAAGTGAGACTCATCCAAGGAATGTGGAAATGGTTCAATACATGCAAATACACAAACATAATACACCACATCAACAGAGCCAAAGTCAAAAGTCACAAGATCATCTCAATAGATGCAGAAAAATGTTTGACAAACCTCAACAGTCATCCAAGATAAAAGCCTTACAGAAAATCAGAATAGATGGACTTTACCTCAACCTGATAAAAGCCATCTATGAGAAATCATCCACCAACATTATAGTAAACAGAACAAAACTGAAAGTCTTCACTTTAAAATCAGGAACAAGACAAGGATGTCTACTGTCACCTCTTATATTCAATGTAGCTCTGGAAACATTAGCCAAAGCCACTAGACAAGAGAAAGAAATAAAAGGGATGATTGGAAAGGGAGAAGTGAAATTATCATCATTTGAAGATGACATAATAGTCTAAACAGAAGACCTCAAACAAACTCCACTAAGGGACTTGTAGATTTAATAACCAAATCCAGTAGCATTGCAGGGTACAAATTCAACATTCAAAAATCAACAGCATTTCTTTACGTAATCAATAAAAGCACAGAAAGAGAAGTGAGACAAACCATGCCTTTCACAAAAACATCCAAAAAGTGAAATATTTACAAATCCATCTAACAAAGCAAGTAAAAGATTTATACAGTGAAAATTGTACTACTCTGAAAAAGAAATTTAAGAGAATTTCAGAAAATCTAAAGATATTTCTTACCCATGGATAGGAAGAACCAACATTGTGAAAACTGCCACACTTCCAAAACTGTTACAGAGTTTCAAAGCAATCTTAATTAAAATACCATTAGTATACCTGACAGAGCTAGAGAAAACAATCTTAAAATTCGTCTGGAACCCAGAAGAGACCTAAAATAGCAAAAGCAATCCGGGGCAACAAACAAAAGGCAGGAAGCATCACAATCCCTGCCCTGAAATTAGGCTATAAAGCTACTTTGATAAAGTCAGCATGGTACTGGCATAGGGATAGACCTGAGGATCAGTGGAACAGATTAGAGCATGCAGACATAACTACAAACACATTTAGCCTCCTTATCTTTGACAAAGAGACCAAATATGTTCACTGGAAGAAAAACATCATCTTTTATCTATAGTACTAGAAAAACTGGCTTTCCACATGTTGAAGGCTAAACTTAGAACCATGTTTATCACCATGCACTAAACTAAAGTCAAAATGGATCAAAGATTTAAATACTAAAACTGAAATACTAAACATACTGGAGGAGAAAGTAAGTAGAAATCTTGAAGACATATGTGTTGATAGAGTGTTCATGAACAACAGCAACAAAAAGCATAAAAAATACTTCAAAGAATCAACAATGGGGATCTTGTCTTTTTAAAAAAGTTTTGTCATGAAAAAAGAAATCACCACTAGAGTAAAAATAAAACTTACGAATTGGGGAAAAATTTTAGACAACTGCCCCTCAGACAAAGGACCTCTATCTGTAACATATAGTTAAAAAAAAAAAGTCAGGACTCTAAAATTCAAAGACTCAATTAAGAAAAAATGGATATTTCAGATGAAGAAATATAAATGGCAAATAAATGTGTGAAAAATGTTCAATGTCATTAGAGAACTTCAA